GGAGAGACAGAGTGTGAGTCAGAGAGAATCTCCACACTCTGCGTGGTGCCCGACATGGGGCTTGATCCCACAACCCTGGGATGATGACCCGAGCCAAAATTGGGAGTCATACGCTCAACCACCTGAGCCACCCACACGCCCTCAGATTCTCGTTTTCCTCTCTGTCCAGTGGAAAACTCAGCAGAAGAAAACTGAAAATAAGAAATCTGTTTGTGTTACTTAGGGGATCTGGCCAGTGTTTTTCCTTCTTTGCCTTTGACTGTTTTAATTATTAAGCAGCCTTGAATTCTCTGAGCTGAAGTACGCTTCGTGTAGTCCTATATAAAAAAGGCCTTTCCCTGCCTCATCTAAATTCCCAGAGTCGTCGTAACTAATTTATGGAAATCATGGGGACACTCAAGGGCCAAGAGTTCTGCCTAGCTTTTAAAAAAATGTTTTCATTAAAGGTTTAATAATTAGATTTTTATTTGATACCAAGAAGAATATCTTTTGGCAAAAGAACATTTCTGTGGAGCATGACACCTGCTTTCAAGGTATCCCGTGTGTCCCTGTCTTTCCTCCTAAGAAGAATCTGAATTCCGTGTTTATTATTCCAATGATTGTCTCCATCATTTCGCTGCGTATATACTCGTACACGTAAACCACGGGCGTGATTTTTTTTTTGTTTTTGAAATTTGCAGAAAGCATTCATGTTCATATTATTTTCCTGAGATGATCTGTTTGTGCCTGTTTTTAATTTATTATTATTTTTTTACTGTGGTTGGGATTCTCTGACCTGCACACACAGTGTATGTACCCAGCCCGACCCTGGATGGACATTTAGGCCGGTTTTCCTTCTCTTTTTTTCTTGTGCAAAGTGTGTTTCTTTGACCTCACGATACGTACCTGCAGTTGCAGTGTCTGAGAATTTATCTAGGACGCATACCTGGGAGGGCAGTTGTGGCCCATCGCTGGGGCACATCTTTGATACGAACCCACAGCACTAGCTGGTTTTCCAAAGTGGCCATGCAGGCTTCTTTTGCTTTCTTTGCTTCTCTCCTTTTCTTTCCCTCTCTCCCTCTTCCCTCCTCCGCCACGCTGCCCTGTTGGGCGGGTCTGACAGGCACGCATGTTTTCCGGGTTTTCTGTTTATCAGTTACGTGGTTCTCCAGGCAGGCAGCGGGGGTGGGGGGAGAGCATCACCCTGCCTCCCCACAGCACCTCTTGCCCCGCAAAGGTATAACCCCTCTTTTTGCCTTTCTTGGTATCTGTTTTGCGCGTCAGAGGCTTACCTCCAGTTGGAGAGCACAGGGCTGAAGGTTATTGAAATAGCCGAGTGTGTCAGGAGGCCTTGTTGACTGACCTCTCTGTGGGGTGCCGTAGGTGTGCTGGTTGCTGGGTGGACACATACCCAGGAGTCCCCCGACATCAGTATCCTTACATCTAAAGCCAGTCGATGCCGTAGAGAAGACTCTTCCCTCTAGTCTGGGCTGGTGCAAGGTGGGTAAAGGGTGGCTGCCAGCAGACCGGGAGCCCCACGGGGAGAAGACTGGGTGGGGGAGAGGGTGTCAGCGCCACTGGCATCCCTTGTCTCTGGTGTGGTGCCCTCGTGTGTGTGGTGCCCTGGGTCCCTCGTCCACCTCTGTCTAGAGATGACAGCTCCGTGGAGCTGGAGGACATCAAGGGATCCCATGGCTTTCACACAGCCGCATCCAGTGTTCCTGATGAGCTCACTCTTCTCAGCCCGCCCCCAGACTTACTTGCTGCAGCCAGTTCCCAAGCCCTTGGGGACCTGGCGTCAGTCAGGTGACGCCTTGCTCTCCCTCCCTGTTGGCTGAAGATTCTTCTTCCTCACGTTTGTTAAGCCAGTCGCTGCTGGTCTGGTCTGTCTCCTGGCTTTGAAAACGTGGTCTTTTCCCCATTATCTTTGTCCTCCTGGGTTGTTGAGTTTTAAGAAATTGCCTCACTTTAGTTTCAGTGAGGTTTACTACCCTGTTAGTAGAGGTCCCGCCCTGAGATTTGAATTTGCATTTCCCCAACGGTTAAAAGAGTTGACATCTTTTCACACAGCCATTGATCTGTTCCTTTTCAGTTTTGTGCCTGTTAAAGTCTTTTGCCCATTTTCTCAGCATTGGTTTAAAATTTATCCCCTTCTTTGTACAAGTACTGTATTCTGGATACCAACTCTTTGACAGTCTGTGGCCTAGCTCTTTATGGTATGGAATTTGGGGGAACAAAGCTCCTTAATTTTAATGGTGAATTTATTAATATCTGTGTTTGCATAATTTATGTTTTTCCCTGTCTTGTTTAAGAAATCCTTTCCTACTCTTAGGGTGCCTGGGTGGCTCAGTGGCTAAGCATCTGACTTCTGCTCAGGGTTTGAGGGTTTGAGCCCCGCGTCAGGCTCTGTACTCACAGCTCAGAGCCTGGAGCCTGCTTTGGATTCTGTGTCTCCGTCCCTCTTTGCCCCTCCCACTGGTGCTCTGTCTCTGTCTCTGTCTCTCTCTCTGAAAAATAAACATTAAAAAAATATTACAAAAAAAATCTTCCGGGGCATCTGGGTGACTCATTCGGTTAAGCGGTCGACTTCAGCTCAGGTCGTGATCTCACAGTTTGTGGGTTCGAGCCCCACATCAGGCTCTCTGCTGACAGCTCAGGGCCTGGAGCCTGCTTCAGATTCTGTGTGTCTGTCTCTCTCTCTCTCTGCTCCTCCCCCGCTCACTCTTTCTGTCTCTCAAAAAAATAAATAAACGTTAAAAACAAAATAGAATCCTTTCCTACTCTGAAACTGTAAATATGCTCTCCCCTGTTGTAAAAACTGTGGTGTTGCCTTTCACAGTTAAGCCTTTTTTCTCCTTGCAGCTGGTTGAGGATCTGTATGATGATAAGTAGGGATTCAGCTTCATTTTGTATACGGGGTAACTGATGGATCGCGTATAGCACCTGTCACTTATCAATGTGTCCGCCCTGTCTTTTGAAGCCGCAGTGTTAGGTTTCTGTCTGTCTGGGGGCACTTTTTTTTTTTTAAGTTTATTTATTTATTTTGAGAGAGAGCACGCACAAGAGAGCGGAGGAGGGGGAGAGAGAGAGAGAGAATATGAATGAATGAATGAATGAATGAATGAATGAATGAATATCTCAGGCAGGCTCCTTGAAGTCAGGCCAGAGCCCTGACTCTGGGCTTGAACTCACAAACTGTGAGATCATGACCTGAGCGCAAGTCAAGAGTGGACGCTTAACAAACTGAGCCACCAGGTGCCCCTGTCTGGGGGTACTTTTCTGGCTATAGTCTTCGGGTACATTGGTCAGCATGTCTACCTCTGCACCATGACTGTATTCTCTTAATCTGTTTGTAGAAGCTCTATGTGCTCTCTTGCTATTTAATCAGATTCTTAACCTTTTGTTTCTTTAAACAAATTAACGAAATAGGAATTAAATGTACAATAGAGGAGTATTAAAAATCAAAAGCTCTTTGAAAAGCTTAATGAGACACCAGTTGCCACACAATTAGAGAAAAGAGACGTAGCAGGAATGGGGGAGGTTAATCATTAAGAAGAAGATATTATGAACAACTCTCTGCCAATAATAATAATTTAAAAACTTCAATTACCCATGTACTGGCCGCCCTCCACCCACTTCTCTCTGCCGTTCTGGAATGTATTTCCTGCCACCCAGCCTTCTCAGAAGGAACCGTTATCAGGAACTTGGTGTCTATCATTCCTGTGTGTGCCTGTTCTGCTGGACATACACGGCATGTCTGCAGGACGTTTATGAAGCACGTGCTCGATTTTCAGCCTCTACAAACAGGCCCGTGTACGCTTTGCAGCTTGCTTTCTCAGCACCGTCTTCTGAAGAGCACCTGTGTTGGTAGACTGAGTTCAGCCATTTTTTATTGTTGCATGGGATTCTTCTTTCTAAATATACCACCATTTTTTCATTATTAGTGGATATTTGGGTGGGTTTTCTATTACAAGCAATGCTGCTGTGAGTCTCTTACATGGGGTGTATATGGTGGGGTTCTCTTGGGGATAGATGCCCACCTACCTGCTTACAGGCCCTGCTGGCTTGTTCACATGCCCGTCTTCAACCTGACGAGGTATTGTCAACTTGTGCTCCAGAGTGGTGGTAGTTTAATTGTTGAATTTGATTTTTTTGTCTTCCAGTGCCTGAAGACCTCTCACTGGAAGAGAGAGAAGAACTTTTAGACATTCGTCGAAGAAAAAAGGAACTTATTGATGACATTGAGGTAAAAAAAAAAAGAAAAAAAAAAAGGCCACAACCAAAAATTCCCCTTAGTTTTTGCTTTTAGGTAAAATGATCACGTAGCTTCATGAAAGTGTAAAATGTGGGTATGTTGTGTGTCTGTATCCTAATATGTGAAGAGACAGGGAAAGAGTTACCCAAGTCAGTCAGGCAGAGGTGGTGATTTCTGGACAGCGTGGACTCGGGAGTGCAAATGCAGACACCACGGAACTGGAGTCAGCAGCAAGCGACACGTGACTCCAGAGTCATAAAAGGGCACTTCTGAACAATGGCAGCAGTCGACAGATTCACCGCTCTTTCAAATTGAATAAGCCCCTATTTCGTTTGCCAACATCCCCGGCATCTAGAACATTCTGTCACATTTTTGGCATGCAGATGTCCTTTGACTGAATGAATCAATGTGCCGCCACTGAGCTGGTGGCAGCAGGGCGACAAGACGCGGGCAGACACCATACTTGCCACGTGTGTGTGCTCGGAGCACAGGGAGAGCGGGCCCTGCAGGAGGAGCAGAGGGGCCAGACCGTAGCCTCAGCCTCAGAGCGTCTGGGGCCGTGGCAGAAATGATCCAGGAGGCCAGGGCTGCTTCCACTTGGGGCTTCCTCGAGGAAGGTACTCAGACACAGGGCCCTTCTCGGAGAAGCTTCTTAATCTTGGTGACGCCAAAATAAATGTGGCCTCACAGGCCACTTGCTGCAAGAGTAAGCCGGGTCCACATAGCAGCTCCTTCCTAGGAGCCCGTGTCTGAAGTCTGAACTTCCTTGGTGAAGAAAAGAGTGATATTCCAAATAAAAATTTCTCTGTATTTGGAAGATAATCTGTGGAACTGTATCTTGCAAGGTTACCCTTCCTTCTTGTGAAAATCACCGTATCCCAGAATGGGTGCTTTGGTTGAGTAATAAGAATGTATCTTCAGGTTCATGGTCCTATTTGGACATGAATAATGGTAGTGCCTGTGGAACCTTATGTAGCTCTAATGACCTAATTAAAAAAATATTTTTAAGTTTATTTTTAAGAGACAGAGCGAGTGGGGGAGGGGCAGAGAAAGAGAGAGGGAAAAAGGGAATCCCAAGCAGGCTCCGTGCTGTTAGTGTGAATCCTGATGTGGGGCTCACACTCACAAACTGTGAGATCACGAGATTGTGACCTGAGCCAAAATCAAGAGTCGGACACTTAACCGGCTGAACCACCTGGGCACCCCTAATGACCTCATTTTTGAGTTGAGAACATTGAGGCCCAGAGAGGTTAAGAGGGCTGCCAATGGCCTCTCAGCCAGTAAGTGGCAGAGCCACATGGAGGGACAGGGGAGCCTGTCCCCTCTGCTGTTCTTGACGTATCCAAGTGCCACAGGTGATTTCTGCTGTCACCTCCTGGGCTCTGTCCATGGTGCTCTGTGTCGGGCAGAGTGGTGGACACCACCCTGCGACTGGCGGTTAGGGACCTGATACTGGTCTCTGCACGTTTAAGCTGCACCTTCTCCTTCCTCTTTGCAAGAGCTGAGGCGGCCCCGGGGCCGGGGGAGGAGTTGAAGAGCTGTAGGGAGTGAGCTGAGGACTCACCACTTCCCTTTGCTCTTGTGTCTTGCCACACCTGTGATGTCCTCCCCAGTGTTGCTTCTGGATTTTGCACACAGATACTCTAGAATCTGCCTGGGTGACCCCTCCCTGCTTGTCCTTGATGAGCGGAGGGACGATAGTGTGTTTTCTCCAGAGCTGGGGCTGTACCCGCCCAGAGGCTCTCTCTCTGCATGGATAGAAAGTACTGATGTTTCCAGACCTGGGATGTCTGGATGGGGCCTCGGGGCAGCTTATGTCTGAAGGCTAAGATTTCTCTGAGTCTAAGAGGGGAAGGTAAAGACCCCTGCCCTCCAATTTCTTTCTTCTGTTTTCGCAGAGGCTGAAATACGAAATTGCTGAAGTTATGACGGAGATTGACAATCTAACTTCAGTGGAAGAGAGGTAAACAGTTGGTGTCACACTGCCCAGTAGCCAACCTCTTTTCTTGGTTTCCAGCTGCGGTGACCACCGCAGGGGCAGGGCCACAGATACAGCAGGGGCAGAGATTATAGCCTCCAGGGCGGGGCCACAGCCTCCAGGGCAGGGCCACAGCAGGGGCTGTAAAGTTGGGATCCTGAAGTGGGGCAGCCCTTGTGAGGTGGTTGATTGCTCTGCTCTCTTCCCCTCACCCCTTCCTCCTTTCCGCGGAGGAGTTGAGGTCCTTCTCTCCTCTCCCTTCCCGGGGAAGCACAGGCCCTTCCACATTAACCTCCAAAGAAGCAGCCTTTCTGTACAGAAGGGAACTATGCTTTCCTTAAGTTGCTGTTTCTTAGTCATTATTAGCTTTTTCTGAAGAAGTAATCAAATGTAGAAAAGAGCCCGGCAGCCTTGTGTGCCGCTTCTGCGATGGGGGGGGGG